CATACAATGTAGTGAAGATAGAGGTAAAAGCTTAACTATACAAAATACATTCTGGAAGCCTTCTGTATATTTCTGGAATTCTGCTTGCTTGACCATAGAGAAGCTACTGGGGGTTGAGCCCAACAACCTCTGCAGGGCCAGAGGTTCCTCATCCTTGACATAGACACTAACTATTGGAGATGGATGTGTGGTTGTGGCATTTCAGGGCTGACCTTTGCATTGAAGCATCTACCGTTACATGTGTGTACCTGGACTCCCATGTGCTCTGCCAGCACTCATGGATGTTCATATACACCCTGTTGAGAGGTTTAGGATCTTTGGCTGGAGTTATGACATGTGCTTGTTATGGATGAGTGTTAACCCTTAATCTTATGCCCACATATTATAGCAAATAGGAGTGACAGAATATATAAAAATGCTTCTTTAGACAGCAAAGTTACATTCTAAGCAGGTAGGCACACCTTAATTAAAGAATAAGATTCCCTGTGGGAGGCAGTGGAAGACAGAAGTGCCTGGCGTGCTCTGGTCCATGGGGTCACGAAGAGTCGGACACGACTAAACGACTAAACAACAAAAAATTCCCTAACTATTCTAAAGGCCAAAAAGGTAAAGTACTCCTGGGCAGTTACGTCCAGTTAAAGGTGACTATGGGGTTGCGGTGCTCATCTCGCTTTCAGGCCAAGGGAGCCAGCGTTTAACCACAGACAGCTTTCTGGGTCATGTGGCCAATATGACTAAACCGCTTCTGGTGCAACGGGACACCGTGATGGAAGCCAGAGTGCATGGAAACACTGTTTACTTTCCCGCCACAGTGGTACCTATTTATCTGTTTGCACTGGCGTGCTTTCGAACTGCTAGGTTGGCAGGAGCTGGGAAAGAGCAACGGGAACTCACTCCTTCACGTGGATTCGAACTGCTGACCTTCTGATCGGCAAGCCCAAGAGGCTCATTGGTTTAGACCACAGCGCCACCTGTGGCCTACAGAAGCACGGGCATGACAATTTTGCCATAAACCCACACTAGGAGGGGGGGGGGGAGAAAGTTTGCCTGTCCTTAAGGCAAAGCAGAAGTGTGCAGACTCCTAGGGAGCAGTGGATAAGTTCTGTCCTGTTGGAGCTATGAGAGCCCACTAGCCTTTGAATCTAATGCTTTTTTAAATAGCTTTTTGCCAAGGCATGTCAGTGTATAGAGGAGGGGTATGTGAAATGATTGATTCCTACAATTTCCAAAATCCCTTCCAGATTTTCCTGCCTAGTTCTCACCTTGCCCATCTTTGGTCATCCTGTTCCTGTTTGTTTAACAAATGGGTGAAAGACTTGTGACAGTGAACAGTTATCTAATCCTAGGCATCTCTGTCTGAGATTTGTCTTTAAATCACCTTACCATTGTGTGGATGGATCCCACTGAAGAGATGAGTATCCTGTATTTGGCAATCCTATATTTGCATATGTTGATCTTTAGGTCAGGTGTGTGTGAACTCAGAATATTCCTGAATGCCTGGAGTGTGGCTTGGGCCAGGTTACCAAGGAGTTCATCATGGAGGGTCTCATGTCATATTAGTTATGTCAATCTTATACTTATGCCACGATTTATAGAGATAAACCATATCATAAGTTCAGATTCATACAACCTTCCTCACACTACTTGTAATACCAATGAAACACCTGAGACTGAAATGCGATTCTGATGTTGTGTTTACTGTGGGCGCAACAGCCTTCAGTTCTATTTGCATTGAAAATTTATTTGTGGACAAAAGCAGATCTTAGAATTTGGACATTTTTTCTTTTCCTTCTTGAAAATGTTGGAGTTCAGCATTTCCCCAATCTTGCATTTGATGATGAACTGAGCCATGAAGCTCATTAGAGTGATTTAGGGTCAGTTACGCTATCTGTCAACTTAACCTATCTCACAGGGTTGCTGTGATTATAAAATGATACTGCTAGTGCTGGGAGAGAAAACTATCTATCTTGCCTTGAGTTCCTTGCAGAAAGGGCAGCATATATAAATGTAATAAATAAATACATATACAGTAATGACAAGCTGGTGGATACTGATCCAACAGGGAGAGTATTGATCACATCCGTCTTTTATGTACCACCGACCAAGACCCATGGCATGCTAACAATACCAGCTCCCAAGAGAATTTAACAGAATTATGAATTCTAAATGAAGGCTGGGGAGAAGTTCTGATGGGCAGAGAACTGATGGCATCAAAGTGGAAACATTAATTCCGGAAACATTTTAAACATTTAGAGAACTGACATAGACTTAATTGGGTGCTTTGTACTGAGCCAAAAGGTTGTCCAAACTCATTTGTAAATTGGCTGTGCAGCTGCTAAGAGTGAGGTCACTCCCTGAAGCAGTGCAAGGAGTCCATGTGTGGGAAGAACATGTTCTCCCAAAACAGACTCTCGTGGGAAAGAGAATGTTATCTTGTGCAATGCTGTTCCTGTGACACCTTGAACTTAGGAAACAATGCAATACATTTTGAATTTTGATCTGAGTATTGTAATTAATTAATTATGATAATGCAGTGCTTAGGTACTGCATATATAAACCCAGCAGCACTGATGTGTACTGTTAAAATATTAGGTTTTGACCCAGAATACCGAGGTTCAAATCTCCGTTCAACCATTTAGTTTACTGAGCAAGTCACTACTGTATTGGTCAACATACCCCGTGAAGCCCCTATATCTAAAATACGCCATTAACATTATTAAATAATACTAAATTGATACATAGTTGTTTCATTACACAGCTTTTTATTCCATCACAAGTCCTGGCTATCACTGCTCCCCCTTCTCATTTCATTCAAGTCATATATTTATTAGAAAGTGCATCTTAAAGTGTGGTATTATGAATCATATTAAACTAATACATAGCTGCTTCATTAAATAGGTATTTCTCTTCCCATGCCCTATCAATCTTCCCACCCCCTTTCTCATATCATTTGTGAATAATATTTATTAAGAAGTACATTTTTGGAAATGAAAAGGTGAACATAGGAACTATTGGGTGGAATGGAGGAAAACTTGCTCTACATGGATCTCTACTTACAGCAGGGATGGGGACTCTGTGAACCTCCAATTTTTGGTGAACTGCAACTCCCATTACCCTTAATCATTGGCCAGACTGGCTGGGGCTGATGGGAGTTGGAGTTTAAGTTCTAACAGCATTGTAGGGTTGCCCTGAACAAAAGGATCCCAGTTCAGCAGGCCTGTTGAAAACACTTGAAATGGAGTAGCAATATTGGGGAAGACAGACAAGTAGGCTGAGCCAGTATAAAGCACTTTCCTATAGTAGCCTACTGGGTTGCCACGTTTCAAAAATTGAAAATCAGGACACGAAAGTCGTTGAGCTTTTTTTTGGCAAAGTTGCTGAGCTTTTTGTTTTGCTTGCAAAAAAACCCCACCACCACGTTTCCCAGCTATTGTTTTAAAGGAGAATTGGCAAAACAACACTGGCAATATGGGTAGCATTACGTCCAGATTTCCCCCGACATTTTATTTTTGGATGATTTTCGCCCAGACGCTGCTTCCAACCACAGTGTTCTGGGTATGTCGGGAAATTCCGGATGTCTGGCAACCTTATATCCAGTGCTTTTTTCCCTTTAAAAAATGTTTAGGGGTACTCTCATTTTCCCACTCATATTGAAATACTGCCCCTCAATGAGGCCAAACTTAGATTCACAAAATGTTTAGGGGTATGCCTCCCTCTGCATCCCCCCAGAAAGAAACCACTGCTTATATCTGCACCTTGGAATATGGCTCAGTTTAAAATATCCATGTAGGCTTCTTCTATATGGATGCACTTTACTTCTGTGTGCACCTGATCCCTTCCTCTCTGGGGCTCAGCTCTGCACGGGGACCTGCTGCCCCATTGTGCATCCTACTGCCTGAGGCCGTCGCCTCACTTTGCCCCCTGGGCTGAAGACCAAGAGGGTGGAGGACTCAGAGGCAGCTTCTTCCCAATACACACACGTATGTAGGACCACACCGTTAGGCTCCTACTCATCCACCGAGTTACTTCAGCTTCCGAAGCAGCCATTTAACGCTATGGGGGCTGCGGGGAACACACCTAATGATCTCATCCGCCATAGTTGTTTATGGATTAGGACCGCAGGTTTTATTTTTTTATTTCCCCTCAAGGGGTCCGTTTTAAACATTGTGAAAACAAGATTGCCTGAGCGGCTTCCAAGGGCCGCGCACAGCGATTCATTCTTCCTCGGACCACGAAGGGATGTGGTGAAAAACGCCCCACATTGCCTCTCAAGCACCGTCGACGCCTATTCAGACAACCCCCTGAAGCAATTTATTCCCCCTCGCTCGATTTCTCTCGTGTTGGTGTGCTCTGTGTACTCTGGAGGGACTTTTACTTCTAAGCAGCAGCGTGCATGGGGCGGGGACGGGGAGGCAGCACCGCCCTCCATGAAGGGCTCCCCTTGAGTGAGGAGGAGGAAGGTCGCGCCGTAAATCCCCCTCTGCCTCAGAAGAGAGAGAGAGAAAAGCGAGAGAGCCGCCTCGCCTCCGCGTCATCCCTCCGGCCCAGGAGGAGGAGCCGCATTCCCGCGCCGATTGGTCGGCGCTGCTGCCAGTCGCGCAGGCGGGCGAGGGGCGCGGCCAAGCGTAGAGCCGGCTCGGCTCCCGGCGAGAGCAAAAAAGGAAAGAAAAAAAAGCGGCCGGCCGAGCCAGGAGCCTCGTTGTGCTGCCGACGTCGACGGCAGAAGAAGGAACAGTGCCGGCTTGTAGTAGTAGTACCAGTACTATTATTCCTTCCAGCGCAGCCACCCTCTCTCCTCCCGAGCCCTGCACCATGGAGGAGGAGCGGTCGGGGGAGCAGATGAGACCGCTACTCACAACGGTAACTGAAGAGCGGCGGGAGGAGGCGGGATGGCAGTTGGCGGTTGTGCGCGAGGGAGGGAGGGAGGGGGGGACGTGGAGGGAGGCGCTCGCGCCCCTTTATCTCTCCCGCCTTTCCCCTGGGCTGAGAGGCTCGGGCGGCCGTTGCTGCCGCCGCCGCCGCTGCGCCTCTTTGTGGGGGCGGAGCCCCGCCGGGCGCCTCACTGGGCTCCCTGGCTCTGCGACGGGGAAGCGGCGCCGGATTAATGCCTGAGGAGGCGACACAAAGCCAGGCGCTCTTTTCTTTCAGGGTCTCGAGTCTCCCCCTCACACACACAAACCGACAGGTGTCAGTCTCTCTCCCTCGCCTCCCCTCAGCCCTTCCTTCCACTTCGCGCTTCCTCTTTCCCCCCCTTCATCTCCGCAGCCAAGCACTACTAACAACAACAACAGGAGCAATACTGTTGTGACACGTGGATGGAATTAAGACTTGCGCGGGGGGGGGGCGGTTTTCTTGCTCATGGAAACATTTCGCTTCAGCATCATCTCCGCCGAATGAATCCTCCACTTGGCGCGTGTGAGGAAATGGAGGGAGGCGCGCGTCTCCTTCCTTTCCACAACCAGCTCCTGCTGGTCTGGGCTCATTGCTTTTGTTCAGGCAAGAGCTCTTGATAGGGTGAGGGGTGGGCAGAGAGGGAGGGGGGAGCCTGGTTCTTTGTTCGAAGCTCCCCCCCCCTCCCTTCTAAGCCCTCTTACCCTTCTAACATGCTCCCTTCATTCGGGCTGGGAAGTGTCAAACGGGGTAAAGGAGGATACATAGTGGGCAGGCTGCAGCGGGTCAGGGCTGGCCTGTGCTGTCCTATGGGAACTAATAGTAATAGTAATAATAATAATAATTAATAATAATAATATAAAAGGACATGTGTCCTGGGCCCAGTGCAGCAGGCGAGGTAGGGGCATCTCCGGTGAGATGCCTTGCTTGCCTTCGGTCCTCCTGCTCCTCTTGACTCCTCTTGACTCCTTTGTGAGTGCAAACACATGGCTAACCCGAAGCAGCTCTTTTGTCCTCAGAGCTCAAGGAAGTGGCAGATAACTCAGCAGTGATTCACTTTACAGTACTTCCTTTCATGGCTGGGGGTGAAATGAGGCGCAGTCTGTCTCTTCCCCGCCACCCCACCCTTCCCTGCTTTTTAAAGTGGTACTAGGGGAAAAAAACATTAGTGGTTCATCACGGATTTTTTTTTTTGCCCCCTTGCGTTTTAGATGAGTTAGCCAGGATTTTTATTGAGTGTTTCCATGACTTTGTCCTGCTGCTAAGGTTGCGTTCATTCCCAAGGTTCCTTGGGACGGTGCCGGGGCAGATAATCTAGTTTTAAATGGCACTAGAAGATGGAGAGCTCTTCTGATAGCAAACGAAGTTAAGCGAGTGAACAACCTAGTGTAAAAGCTTTCCCTCTACATCATTTGGCTTGTTCACTGAAGAGTAATATGTATTAGTACTATGTGGCAAACAATTTAAGTACTGGATTTAACTTGATTTCTGCACATTAGGATCTACATCTACAGCAAATTGTTCGATACAATCTATGTAGAAAGGTAGTGGTCTATTTTTTCGTTTTTCAGTAAAACAGTTGTGGTGGACTACATTGTGGGTAGTATTGAACTATGTATTAATTAGAGTATGCCTATTTAAATCAAAGTAAATAAATGTCAAATGTGTGGTTTTTGCACACTGGAGGTGGCATAATAAAAAATGCTAACTTGCGCAAAAGACAGTAATAGAAAAAGAGTTATCACTCCTGATCTATGATGAGGGGAACAAAAGTAGGGCTCCTAAGATCTCTTGGACAAAGAGTCAAGAGTCTTTAGCTTCAGGTTTGCCAACAGCCACAAACAAAGGGGGGGGGAGCCACAGGATTTGTTCCTTTCCTGTGGTTAGTAGATGTCCTTAAATCCAAATACAGTAATGTCTGATCTTTTTGATATCCAGCTGTCACACAGAAGTGACACTTGGAAACCATGCCAGGTTTTTTGCCTGGAGTGTATCTCTAAAAGTTACTTGCCCAGTTGTTTGCCAAGGCTTCTGATGTGGAAAGACTCCACAGTTATAGCAGTTTTCATTTGGCAGGGATTCAGGTCTCTCATCTTAGCACTGCTTTCATTTATATGCCACCTCTGCCCTCCACCTTGCCTCATGTGAGTGTTGCTTGTGTGTGTCTGACAGCAGACAAGCAGAATGTTACTCTGGGAAGGGTAGTGTCTAAGAAAGGGAGGATGCATTTGATCCGATTGCTGATTCTGCAGTGGTTCCTTTGACCCTGTGGGTTCTTGCGCTCTTTGGCTATCCTCTCATTATGCTGAATATGAGTGATCTGTTGCAAATATAGTTTGTTTTGTTTCCGGTCATAATAGTTTTTGAGGGAATAATTTTGCATCTTTTGAATTCTTACAGATTACACAAGGAGACGGTCGTTCCAGCTTCTTGAAGGAGGTGGGGGCCCATTAATCTTTTGAGTAGAGAAACGCATGACTACAAAAATTGAATTGCTACATTTACTTTTAAGATATATTTCTACATAGGAGACTATGATATATTCACTGAAAGATGCTAGAGAAGATTGGATTTGGTTTTACAATCATGGAGAGGGTTAATGGTCCCTGTTCTCATAAGCTTACATAGATTGTGGTCTGCCTAGTTCTCTTTTCCTGTCTGGGAAGAAAAGAGCACTCATTTATTTTAATATGAAAGTGTTTTTATAATGAAACGGATGTAGACCTGTGCGTATTTCCTTTTTGCAACAATTAGCTCTTCAGCTACGTGTAGTTCTAGAATGTTCAATTGCACCTACTTTTTTGCTTTGTGGCAATGATTTTTGATCAGGCCTTTTTACCATTTACAGTTTGAAGCACCACATACTGTATAGGTTTTCTGAACCTATCTGGAGGCTTTCACAGTAGTATTACAAGTACTAATAATACTTCACAGGTAATATTAACCATTCTTCTCAGGCAACCTTTCTGTGGAATATGCCAGCATTAGGATTTAATGTTTTGCTAGAGGTTGGATCTGTGTTGATCTTCTGATGAAGTGTCTTGCATGCTAACTTTTTGGAGGGTTTCCTATCGACTAATATGAAAATTCCTTGAAAGTAATAGGCAACATCACATTTTATCCAGCACTTATGATAAAGAAGAAGAAGAAGAAAATTTATTACGGCCATAGGCCCATACAGATAAAAACAACACATAAATAACAGCTTGTGCACGTGGGAAAAAACAGCCGCTAAAACACCACTATAACAATTAAAATACTATAAGATGGGATGGCATACTACGCCTTAATTAGCTTGTAGTGCTCCTTGGCGTCGCTTTTGGGTAAGGACAGCGACCAGGAACCTAGTCACTTTCAGGGTCGTATGGGTATCCTTATCCTGCAGGATTTGGGCAAGGTGGAATTTTGGTGGGGTACCCTCTAGTTTCTGTATGATTGATCCCAACAAATTTGCCCGTGGCACATTGAACAAGGGGCAAGTGAACATAATGTGCTGGAGCGACTCCGGCATCTCCTTATCACATTCGCACATGGCGGAGGCTTGGCCCCTTATGATAAATCATTAAGTGTGAATGCCCTATGAAGACAAGCAAATCTTACTGCACCTTATACATATGTAGGATCCTGCATATTATAATCTACACATCTATAGCATCCTGAGTGCTTCTCAGAAATCTGTTCTTGGAAATCTGGAAGGGTATTTTTGGAACAGTTGAAATGAGCGTACAGTATCTGTTGAGGGTCATATAATCAATCTTAAACTAACAAATCCACTAAAATAGCTTTAATTATTTATTACTATTCTCTTCTGCACTGATGATTCATGTAGGTGCATCTGTGTCCATGGTTGCAATTAGCTGTACCAGGTGGCTATTGGATATGAGAGAAAGGGGTGAACTTCACCCCATAGCCTACTAGTAAGCACAGCACTCGCCTCCTTTTGAGTTATCTGAAGTAGGTGGAACAAGGAAGGATGAACATGCTAGAAAGAGGGTTCCTCTCTTTGCTTGCATGCTAATCTATTTTCTGTTCCGTTGGAGATTAAGAACATGAAAGGAACTAATAAGTGAACTAGATAATTTCCTAGCATTTAATGAACCTGAGATAAGGATGGAATTCTTCAGATTCTAATGTAGAACATTTCCCTCTGGTTTGATCCAACACAATTACCATTTAATATTTCAAAAAGTCAAGCCTGCCTTTATATAGCTGTCTAAAAATGCAGTACTGAAATCTAATAAATGCAAGGCTATCCTAAAAAGGCAAGGAACTATATGTATTTGTGCAGTGCTATTTAGCTCTTGTTTATACAACTGAATATAGCTGGAATAGTCCCCCCACCAAAAAATATGATGAAAATACATTGGGTGAAATATTTTCTACCTGCTATTGCTCTGACTTCCTTGTATATGCATATTGTGCCTTGTGTTTTATTTTGTTAGCTAATAGTGGGACTATGCATAGGATTTCACAGACGTGTGTGCCAGAAAAAAATGTCTTAACTCAAAATAGCTTGTACATATGGCTTCCTGCTATAGAATTACACAAACTTGTCACCTGATGGCATTGTCCTTCATAAATCACATTCAGTCATTACTCCGTTATGAGGTAGGTTCTTCATCATTCTCACAGGAGTTAAGTATTTTGGCTTAAAACATTTGGTTGCAATATTATATATATATTTTTTTGTTCTTTTTATTGGCTCTTCCAAAAGCCAGCTAAACTGAGGTTATGTACTTCATTTGCAATAACAAATCTACTTGATTAGCCTGCTTCTAAACTAGTGAAAATAAGAAAGGGTATTAGCTGAGGACTTAATCAAGACACCTTTTGAACGAAACATTTTGCTAAGCTGAATTTCATGGTTCCTGACAATAATTCTAACTTTATTTTGCACCTTGAGTGAGTTTTAGCTAACCTTGTAAGTAATTGTACACACAATTCTAGATAATATGCAGCTCTATAAAAAGTGTAAGAATGGGATTACAACTCCACATATGACACTGTGTGCATTGGTTTTATCTTGCTCAAGAGTTAGCTTGCAGATACCCCACTGAAAATAATGACAAAACTTAATATTGATTTTGATGGCCTAGGTCTAGGACTACACTGAAGAGAATCATGTGATGGAATATTTTATGGTGCACAGAAGCTCTTATCTTAATAGAAGCAGGATAGATTAAAAAAAAAATCCTCAAATGAGATGCAGAGAAGAGAGGGGAATTAAGAAGGCTAATGCCAGGGAAGCCCTAAGAGGAGAGGCAGAGGAGAATAATAGCATCATCAATTCATTCAAATTCAGTAGATAGGTCAAGGAGTTTTTTCTAATATAAGACACTCATATAAGCACCCGCCTAGCATTTGAGACTTTCTGATGACGACCTGATCTTTATTACATCCCATGGGGATTCTAAATTACCAGAAGTCCCTGCTGGGACAAGGCCTAATGCTCTGAAGTTCTCTTGATAGAGGTGTATAGCTACTTCCTTCTGCCTTTCTGAAAATATAAACTTCCTTATTGAGAATCTTTGAGAATTATTTCTTGCCTGCAGAATTATTTGTTGTGTGTCTGTGTTTGCCTTAATTTTGTTGTTGATGCAGGGCTGGGGAGTGGGGAACTGATGGGACATGCAAAATAACAAAGAATTTCTTAGGTGAAGGACCAGGGCTTGCATAAAATGGTTAGAAACTGTTTGACCTGCCTGGTTAGATTCTGGCAAGAGGTAGCTCAGTACAGTTTAGCTGCTGAAAACCTTTGAACAAAATTGCTCACTCATAATATCTTCCGTTCTACTTCTGTCATTTCTGACTTGGGTAATTTTGAGATGGTGTTCTTGTTGTCCCCCCACCCCATCTCCTTTTTAAAATGAAGGCTGGGAGTGTCAGCTCAGGACTTCTAACATATTTGAATATGCCATTTACAAACACTTCCAAATAATGATATATCTCACTTCAAGTTGAAACATAGTTTAGAGGTGCCTCTGCTTCAGTGAGGATTTTTGTTGTTTATGGTTTAGTTTGCTTTTACAAATATAGGATGTTCTGTTGCAGAGGCACTAGAGGGCACTGCTCTCATATCTTGGTTAGAGAAAACCTGTGTTACGAAAATGTGCATAATATGTGGAAAGCCAGGGAGGACTTAATTTATAACATTTTAGGCTGTAATCTTATACATAATTACCTGGGAATAAGCCCCATTGAACTCAGTTGGAGGTTTTAGATGAGCTGAGATGTCAGCAGTGAAGAAAGGAGAAATCATGAAGGAAGAATATACACAAATAGCCAAGGTAAGATGGGCCAGAGCTCAGAATGAACTCAGGCTTGCAAGAGAGGTTAGAACATGGGTAGGCAAACTAAGGCCCGGGGGCTGGATCTGACCCAATCGCCTTCTAAATCTGGCATGCAAATGGTCTGGGAATCAGTGTGTTTTTACATGAGTAGAATGTGCCCTTTTATTTAAAATGCATCTCTGGGTTATTTGTGGGGCATAGGAATTCGTTCTCCCCACCCCCAATATAGTCCGGCCCCCCACAAGGTCTGAGGGACAGTGGACCGGCCCCCTGCTGAAAAAGTTTGCTGACCCCTGGGTTAGAAATAAAAAAGGTTTTTGTGGCTATGTTCAAAGCAAGAGGAAGAACAATCAAGTATTAGGTCCCTTGCTTGGAGAAGATGGGGAAATGCTCACTAACTCGTTATCTTGGAAAAACTGACAAGTGGGGTGCCTCAGGGTTCTGTCCTAGGCCTGTTGTTCAAATTCATTATAAACAACTTGGATGAAGGAATTGAGGGGGTGCTCATCAAATTTGCAGATGACACCAAACTAGGAGGGGTAGCCAAAGCCGCTGAAGACATTATCTGGATTCAAGATGACCTTAACAGACTGGAGAACTGGGCCAAAATGAATTTCAAGAGGGACAGATGTCAGGTTCTACACTTAGGCAGGAAGAACCAGCTGCAAAAATATAAAATGGAGGTAGGTCCAACTCTGTGATTCTGTGACATCTGGTTTATCAGTAGGACTTGTGAAAAGGATCTAGGGATCTTAGTAGATCACAAGTTTAACATGAATCTATAGTAGGATGCTGCTGCAACAACAACAACAACAAAACTAATGTTATTTTAAGCATCATCAACAGAAGTATAGTGTCCTGACCAAGGGAAATAATAGTCCTGCTCTATTCTGCCTTGGTCAAACAGACCATACCTGGAGTACAGTCTCCAGTTTTGGGCACTACGATTTAAGAAGGATATTGACAAGCTGGAATGTGTACAGAGGAGGTTGACAAAGATAATCAAGAATCTGGAAACCAAGCCTTATGAGGAACAGTTGAGGGAGTTGGATCTGTTTAGCTTGGTAAAGAGGAGGCTGAGAACATATATGATAGCAACCTTCAAGTATCTAAAGGGCAGTCACATGGAGGATTGAGTGTTTTCTCCTG